GGCCCTCATTGCCATGACAGTTTGTGACTTATTGTTGACATGGCAGTGTGGGATCCCAACGTGTGTCATTTCACATGAATTTTTCTATTCCATAGTGCCCATTATGTTTTGTATTTTCTAAGCTCATTAATGTCCAGGGAAGTCAAAGAGAATCAATGTATTGGTTCTTCTGTGTTTGGAACTTGTGGTAGATTTGAAAAAATGGAGGATGATTAATAGTCTTTGGAACCAATCACAAAGTCTTCGCGAGCACACCCACAAACTTTTTTCTAAGCCATTGGGATAAAAAACCAACAACTGGCTACCACCCCCGAGAGGAAGTTGTATTTTTTCTTTTTTCATTTTCTATGGGAATTCTATGGCTTTAAAGAATGTTGACCATTTGGTAAAAGCAAGTATAAAAGGGGGTGCGTTGTGTCATTTGTGGTTGTGCGTAATCTTGAACTGAAACTAATGAAATTTGAATAGAAAATCTAAGTGGAAGAGCCTTTCTCCCACTATCTTTCTCCCTCTTCCTCTCATTTTGTTTTTTTTTTTTCTTCTCTCTTTAGATGTTGTATTATTTTTCCCTAACCATTTGGTATCGAAGCCTAGAAAGAAGCCTCGTCTTTTTTTCTCAAAAAAAAAAAAAAAAAATAGTCTTCTTTCATGGCACAAAGAAGGGCTAGAGGTCGGGGAGGATGAGGCAACTTTTTTGGAAGCAATGGGGGAATGACGAGTTGATGGATTTGCATCGCCAAGTTGAGCAATTGACGCACAAAAAGCTTTTAAATGATTTGAAATGTCCTTGAATCTTGTCAAGACTCTTTCTAGCGACGAGTCTGAGGTTAATCCCGCCACGCAACGGTGTCGACGTGACGAGGGGACTGAGGACAGATTTAGATTTGATAGAGACTCTATCAAGCTTCACATACCGGAGTTCCATGGAGAGCTACATCTCAAATAATTACTAGATGGGTGCAATTTGCATACGGATGCATCCGTAGGTGTAGAGGGAAGGTGCATCTTCAAATTTATCATGGTATATAATTTTGATGTAAAATGTTCTTAGGATTATCTCAAAATCTATTTTTATATCTAATTATAAAATCTTAAATTTCAAAAATGGTTAAAATCAAGTAGATCTATAAACATATGGAAATCTTGAAAATGGATGGTGTAGATAATATGTTGTAAAAATGCACTATTTCTGAGACTTAAAATCTTTTAATTTTTCATAGTCATACATCTCGATGTCAAGATGATCAATTAAAGGGTTTTTT